TTCGTATGCACTGCGGTAACCCTGGCAACGATAAACTAACCCAGCCCAGCCTGTGAGTTCACTAATGCAAAATCGGCCCTATACATGGGCTTAAGGGAAGGAGCGCCATGCTTGTCTCAAAGCCTGAAAACTATTTACTCAATATCTAATTTTTTTTTTAATTGAGACGGAGTTTTGCTCTTGTTACCCAGGCTGGAGTACAATGGCGCGATCTCGGCTCACTGCAACCTCCGCCTCCTGGGTTCAGGCAATTCTCCTGCCTCAGCCTCCTGAGTAGCTGGGATTACAGGCACGTGCCACCATGCCCAGCTAATTTTTTGTATTTTTAGTAGAGATGGGGTTTCACCATGTTGACCAGGATGGTCTCGATCTCTTGACCTCGTGATCCACCCGCCTCGGCCTCCCAAAGTGCTGGGATTACAGGCCTGAGCCACTTTTTATGCGGTATGTCTGACTTTCAACAGAAAAATTGTAGAACAAACAAAAAGGCAAGAAAAAGCATAGTTTGAAGAGACAAAGCAACCAGAACCAAACCCAGGTATGCATGAATGTGGGAACTATCATACGGGGAAGTCTCAACACCACACGCAGTTGAGGACGTGAAGAATGGTGTCCGCACATTCTTCATTACACTCAGCACAGCCGAACGAAGAATCGGGGAGCTTAGAAACAGTACGAAGTAAAATAAAAATGGCTGAACGTGAAAGGCAAGAAGGAAAGAAAAAGAATAAAGGGAAAGAGAAAACTCCACAAAGCAAAAAAGCTGTGTGAATTAATACATAAGGATTTGGAAAAGCCAGAAATAAATAAAAGAGACATCAGAGAAGAAATAACTGAAAAAATAATGGTTGAGAATTTTCCAAAATCATGCTTGCCAGATAAAAATGGGGTAATAACATAATTAAAATGCTCAAACATTAGAAAAAAACCTGTCAACTCAGAAATATAGGTATGTTCTGGTATCATCCTTTAAGAATGAAACACTGTGAAATGACTTAACAACAGAATTTAAGTTACATAAGGCTAAAAACTGGTAGATTTGAAAACAGGAATAGACAAATCTGTAATTATACTTGGAGACTTCAATGCTCCTTTTCCAGTAATTGCTATGACCGTACCAGCAGACAGAAAATAGTAATGTCAGATGACGAGAAAGATTAATAACCCACCTAACTGAACGGATGCATAAGGCAACCCCAATAACAGCAGGAGAAACATGAAACATTCACTAAGATACACCGTATTTCAGATCAGTACAAAAACAATTAAAAGCATATTTTTAAAAATTAAATCTGAAAGAATAAAAATCATAAAAAGACTGTGTATCATGTAAAATAAAAAGCAATAACAGAAGATATCTAAAAAAGTCTAAAATATTTGGAAATGTAACAACCCTTATCATTAACTCATTGGTCAAAATTGGTCAGTGAGGAATCCTCCTTGGTCAAAGGTCAGGAGGAATTTTGAACTATTTTGAAGTAGAAGAGAATTAAGAGAAAAACCTTCAACGAAATATTAGCAAGTTGGACTCAACAATGTGTAAAACAAATTACAGGTCACGACCAAGTGGCATTTATTCCAGGATATGATATGCCTGTACCAAGGGGTGCAGAAGGTGCATTTAGGGAAATCCAACACCCGTTAGTGCCAAGAACTCACAACGAAGTAGAAATGCTAAGGAACGCTCTCAAATCCATAAAATACATCTAAAAAATTCTACAGTTACATCATACTTAATGGTGAGCATACATAGCTGCCTTGGTATTAAGCCAGAAAGAAAGAAGGAGGGTCTCCTCTCACCACGCCTATTCACCTGCAAGTCCTAGTTAATGCACCAAGGCAAAAAAAGAAAATGGAAGGTACGTATATGTAAAGGAAGAAAGAAAACTTTGTTCTCAGGTAACACGGTTGTCTTTGTAGAAAAATCTCAAAAAACCAACAGTAACAAACTCCTGAAACTACGTGATTAAAGCAAGATTGCGAGCTGTAAGCTTAATACGTGAAGTCAGCTGCTTTCTCATACGCCAGCCAGGAACAATTGAAATTTGAAATTAAATTTACATTGACACTCAAATGCAAGTATAAGTCTAACAAAAAAGTACCAGATTTATCAAAATATGTGCAAAATCTATATAAGGAAAACTACAAAACTGTGATGAAACAAATCAAAGAGGATTTAAATATACAGAATGATCTTCCATGTATATGGAATATTATCAAGATGTCAGTTTCCTCCAACTAAATATAGAGATTCAATGCATGCCCAGTAACATTTCCAGCAAGTTATTTTGTGGATATCAACATACTAATTCTAAAGTTTTATGTAAAAGCAAAAGACCAGAATAGCCAACACAATATTGAAAAAGAAAATTCAGCGGACTGACACCACCTGACTTAAAGACTATAAAGCCACAGTAATCAAGACAGTGAAAGAATGGAGAGATTATGAAACAGAACAGAGAGCCCGAAAAAGGTCTGCATAAATATAGACAACTGATATTCTTTGACAAAGGAGCAAAAAAGCATTTCAATAGAGAAAGGATGGTCTTCTCAACAAACGGGGCTAGAAGAAATAGAAATCCACAAACAGCAGCAACAACCACAAAATCTAGACATAGACCTCACAGTTTCCTCTAAAATTAACCTAAGAGAGATCAGAGACCTAAATGTAAAACACAAAACAATGAAACCTGTAGAAGACAGCATAAGAGAAGATCGAAGTGACCTTGAATTGGGTGATGACTTCTTAGATACAATGCCAAGAGGGCAATCCCTGAAAGAAAAATTTGATGAGTTGGACCTTATTAAAATTAAAAACTTTTGCTCAGCAAAAGACACTGTTAAGGAAATAAAATGAGAAGCCACAGACTTGGAGAAAATATTTGCAGATCTGATAAAGGACTTGCATCCAGAATGTACAAAGAACTGTTAAAACTCAACAATAAGGAAACACACCAATTAGAAAAAAACAGGCAAAAGATGTGAACCGCGCACCACATCAGATGACAAGATGGCAAATCAGCATATGAAAAGCTTCTTAACATCACATGTTGTTAGAAAATTGTAAATTAAAGCAACAATGAGCTATTCCTGTATATCTATTAAAATGGTTAAAAGCCAAACATTGACAACATCAAATGCTGACAAGGATAAGGGGCAGCAGGCATTTTCATTCATTGTTGTTGGTAATACAAATGGTCACTTCCCACACAGCCAGCTGGGAAGAGATTTTGGCCATTTCTTGCACAATTAAACATATGCTTACATATGACCCAACTTTATACCCCTCGGTCTTTACCGAAATGAGTTGAAAACTTCTGTCTGTACAAAAACCTGCACGCAAGTATTTTAGCAGTTCTGTTCATAATTACCAAAATGGAAAGCAACCAAGACATCCTTCAGTAGGTTCACGGATGAAGGATAAACTGTGCTGCACCCATATAATGAATTACTGCTTAGTGATAAAGAGTAGATGAGCCATCGTGCTGCAAACATACATAAAGAAAACTCAAATGCATAGTGCTCAGTAAAAGAGGCCAATTTGAAAAGACTTCGTACTGCATGATTCCAACTACCTGATATTCTGGAAAAGGCAGAACTGTGGACGCAGGGAACAGCCGAGTCAGGAGGGATGAATAGGTAGAGCACAGAAATGTTTAGGGCAGTACAATTATCTTATAGGATGCAGTATTGGTGAATACAAATCATGCTAAGTTTGTCAAAACCCAAAGAATGTACAATACAAAGAATAAACCCTCATGTAAATGATGAACTTTAGTTAATAATAATGTATGTATTGTCTTATCAACTGTAACCGAAGTCTCACACTAATCCAAGACGCTAATACTAGGGTAAACCGTGTGTGTGTGTCTGGGGGAGAAAAGTAGGTATAGATAGAACTCTGTGCTGTATGCTCATTTTTTCTGTAAGCCCAAAATTGCTCTTATTTATTTATTTATTTATTTTGAGACAGTCTTGCTCTGTCGTCCAGGCTGGAGTGTTGTGGTGCGATCTTGGCTCATTGCAACCTTTGCCTCCCGGGTTCAAGCAGTTCTCCTGTCTCGGCCTCCTAAGTAGCTGGGACTATAGGCACCTGCCACCATGCCTGGCTAATTCTTGTATTTTTAGTAGAAACAGGGTTTCACCTTGTTGGCCAGGCTGGTCTCAAAGTCCTGATCTCAGGTGATCCACCCTCCCAAAGTGCTGGGATTAGAGGCGTGAGCCACTGCACTCAGCCTTAACTCTTAAAATAAGTGCTGCCTTCTAGGTTCAAGAGGAAGCGGACATGTTCCCTCCTCCCTGCGGTGCTCCTAAGAAGCAGCAGCTAGTTTCTAATGAAGCACCACCTCCGTGTTTTGAAGGATGCGTGTCTTTTTTGAGAGGAGTAGCTGGCCTCAACTTCTCTGAAGAAGAGTTTGAAAGCCATTGCCCATTAAGGAAGGCATCAGGAGCCCGGGCAAGTACTTCTGGACGGCCCCTGACTCAACACGACACTGACGTTGAAGAGTAGAACAAACAGGAAGGGGCCGGGGACAAGTGTGTGCCTTGGAAGGCATGCAGGGGCAGGGCTCATTGTGCAGCCAGGACGTCAGGACAATGGCGGTGAGAGTGCTGTCTGCCTCCTTGGCCTGGCCAGGACGAGCTCTGGAGTCAGGATCTCCCTCTCTCCACACTCCCACCCCACCAGTGGCTGTCAGGCTGGTCATTTTGCTCGTCCCACTCCACAGATAGCCGTGGGCTTCGTGGCCTAGCATGGCAATGCCACCACAGAAAGGCCTGCTCCTGCCTAGGAGACATGCCACTAAACAATGACCTTCCATAATCTCACGTGTGTGATGCTGGGGTGTAGTAAAGCCAAGTCTGCCCTTCACACAGGGGAGTGAAGTCAGCGGTACGCTGAAGTCAGGGCTGCCGAGGGGATTATCCACGGGCATCCCCTTCGGCTGCCAGTGGCTCTTGGGGAAGGGGCTGGCCGGTTGACATCCAGATTTGCTGAGCTCATGCTTGCAGTGAGAATTTTTTTTTTTAAAGATTGGGAAATAGAAGAGAAAATCTGGAAAGAGAAAGCACCATGGATTTCCTTTTTCTATCTTCACCAATAAACAGTTGAGAGAAGGGCAATTTTTTAGCGTCTATTAAAACTTTAAGAAGGATAGCATTCACAAGATGTAAGGACCCTGGCCCAGGGAACTTGGCTTCCTTCACTGCTGCTTCTGACTGTGGTCTCCAGAATCCAGACCAGTATATTCAGAACATCTCTCTTCAGAACGTTTGTGGAATAGAGTTAGACTCAGCAATTCCACTTCCCAGGGTTTGCTTGCCATTTCCACCTTTGCTGTGGCATTGAAGGACCCCACGATTCCAGTGTGTTACAGCACTAACTGCCTCTTTCTCAGCCATTCCATGTGGGGGGCTCAGGTCGGCTCTGGTCAGCCTTGGGTGTGTTCCTGCTCTGGGACCCAAGCTGGAGGAAGCAGCTTTAATCTCAGATAGGAGATAGCTATGGTAAGGTAGATCTCTGTGGCATGGACAAATCCCCCAAATATCCTATTGGGTGGAAAAAACACATTGCCAAATAATATGTTTAATAAAAGAAAAAGTAGAGCGCACTGCCTTTGGCGGGCCCATGTATGTCTATCAGTGCCTCTATGAAGTGTGGCAAAATATTACCAACCTGATGGCAGGTGCCAGCCAGGAAGAGGAAGGGCTTCAGTAAAGGCTGGGCTGGAGCTCCTGTTCTTCCAATGTGAGGTAGTTAGTGTGAACTGTTCCACCCAAGAAGAGAAGGAAAATGAAAATCTGACACAGTTGCCAGCTTCTCGGATGCTCTTTCTTCATCTGGTGAGGCAGAAAGGGCAGTTTGTAAAGTACCAGCTGGCTTTGCTTATCAAACGCAACTCCCGTGCTAACCAGTTCCTTTTAAGAGTGACCCTGAAACCAAGAGCTAAATGTGGTTTAATGACATTTTAAGATTTCTGGCAACGGTTTGTTTTGCGTAGGAAGAAACTCCAAGGAGCCAGGCCTTGATTTGACCCCGAGAGGTTGTGTGCGTGACACACGTCACTCCACGTTGCTTGCGCACCCTAATGGGGTTTCTCACCCACGGAGTTCCCAGACGAAGTAATCTGTTCTCATTCTGGTCACTTGGATCATGAGGAAAAAGAGCACATAACTCCTTCCATCCTGAGTGAAGTCTGCCTGAACCTGACAGGTGTCCGAGCCTTTCATTCTCTCCTCAAGCAAGGCTTAATGGAGACTTCGTTCCCGGGGTAATCCCCATTCCTGTGTGCTCTGTTAACCTAGGCTCTGTCAGTGTTGACTGTAGATACATAAATGCGGTCTAAGTGTCCGTTTTTCCACGGACTTACCAGCTCGGGTTTCATCTTGCCGTTTTACTCCAATATTAGTCCCTAATTAAATAACAACAGCAACAAAAATCTTCCACCGCCTTCGCTCTGAATCACAAACTGGGAAAAAGGAGTTTTCCTTGTTCTTCGGATTCATCAGCAGCGGGATATTGCTCTCCTAGAAACGTCTCAGGGTGTCTGGGCTTTGGAATCACACAGACCCAGCTCTCCGTTGGTGGTTCATCCGCTTCCTCACGGGGCAGAAAATCACTTGCCTTTTGGGAGCCTGAGTTTCTCTCCTGTGGAGTGGAGGTGGTGACCCAGGCAGGGCAGTCTGATCACATAACTGGATAAGGTGGAGGGTGGAGTAAGATAGTGGGTGGGTGAAAAGTGCTAGAGCTGCCCTCTGGAATATAAGGCATGTTGTATGAATGTTCGTTCCTGAAACTCTGTCTGACTCTGACTGTCTACAGGAAGATGAGAAATGACTGCTGCTGTGGACTGCATCGCCGTGGATGGAACTGTTCCTTCTGAGCTGCGTCAGTGCATGCAGGGGCACACCCCCAAGAGTGAGTACAGTGATGGTGCTCCATGTGGAGGGTCAGCCCCACACTGTTCCACACACTGATGGCCTCACTCTGGCCACCGTGGACCTCAGAGCAACTGCTCACCCCTGCTACTGAGTTGTGAGTGTTGGTCAGTCCCTGGACTGCTGGCTGCAGATGGGAAGGAATATTGGACATGCTTCCCCCTCCACAAGGGGAGTTCTCTTTTCCTGTTTTCTACTTAGCATCCTGTGAACCTAGCTAGCCATTTTACCTTTCAGGGTCTCAATTTTCTCATCTGAAAAATTAGGGCAGTAAATTAGATCATCCCTGAGATTCCCTCCAGGACACAGACGAAGCATGACCCTGAGGTTCTAATCTGGTGATTAGCTTAGAATCGATCTGCTGTCAGGTACAGGGGAGCTGGACCGACACTCACCCATGGTGGACTCAGGCTTCCTGAGACTGTTCCTTTCTGAGATCTCACTCTGGGGAAGTCATGGCTGCTTTACTGATCCCCAGGCACTGTCTGCAGACACTTCTTTACTGCGTTTAAAAAAATGTGATAGGTTGGGTGCTGTGGCTGACGCCTGTAATCCCAGCACTTCAGGAGGCTGAGGCTGGCGGATCACGAGGTCAGGAGATCGAGACCATCCTGGCCAACATGGTGAAACCCCATCTCTACTAAAAAATACAAAGGTTAGCTGGGCGTGGTGGTGCGCACCTGTAGTACCAGCTACTTGGGAGGCTGAGGCAGGAGAATCACTCCAACCTGGGAGGTGGAGGTTGCAGCGGGCCAAGATCCTGCCACTGCACTCCAGCCTGGTGACAGAGCAAGACTCCGTCTCAAAAAAATATGTGATGAGTTCGGGATGGGTTATCCCACGAATGACGTCTGCCCTGTTAGGCATACCCTGTGAGATAAACCAGCAAGGAATGGCAGATCCCCTAGTGAATGAGCAACGCGTTTAGCTAGCTCCAGACAGAACAGTGGCGTTAAATGACCTCCTTGTCTACGATCAAACAGAAAAGAGCACCAATGTTTAACCATCCACAGTGAACTAGGTGCCGTATCGAAGCTTCATAACCCTGCTGATGTCAGTGGAGTTAAAAAAAGAAAACCAAACGGGGTCTCATGTATTTTGAAGTCCAGTAGACTTATGTCCAAGGTGATTGGCTGTTTCAGTTTGGATAAACTATTCAGTTTCCTGGGACTCCGATTTCTCATCAGGAAGGGAAGAACAACTCCACCTGCCTTACAAAGGTTTGTGTGGATCAGAACTACCATCTCTAAAACACAGCACACGATGGAATGCCACGGATTCCAGAATATGTAACACCATATGTTCACACCTCTGCCCTCCACTCCCCACATGATACTCGGAAAGAGGCTTGATTTCTCCAAGTCCATTTCCTCATGTTTGAGAAATTTCCTCATGTTTGAGAAATTCACGTCTCAGGGCTGATGTGAAGTGCACTCGGCAGCGTCCTGGGAACGCGTGCTCCCGCGTGTTACACATTCGCTTCTCCCCTACACATTTCATCAGGTGTGATCGTGTTCCATCAGTGGGATCTATGTCAGCTCACTCATATTCTCCAGATAATTTTTGTTCAGTTCAGTTTTTGAAATGGATAAAAGCTAGAAACACATTCTGTGATTTTCTGAGGTGGTGTTAGGAGTTTCAAATGCCCTTTCCTACCTTGCTGACATTTCCTGCTCAATAGGAGAAATGCTGCACATCTTTCTATAGGCTGAAAACCGACAGACTTACATTTGCTGATGATTTTACCCAGCAGTCCGCAGTGGGTCTCATTTGCCACACACAGGGCTGGGTTTCAGAGGGAACGACGCAAAGCGAGGTGTACTGACAATCTGAATAGAAAGTTGCCTTTCAAAGTTGATTTTGAGGTGGAAAGACTCTTTAAAGAACAGGTGGGATTTTTTTTCCTCATATTTCTGAGTTTTTCCTCTTGAGAGTAAAAGGCAGGCAGCTTCTAAGCGGCTTTTCTTTCCATTTTCAGTGCTATTTTTACCCTATTTTTCTAGTCTCCAGCCCTGTCGTCTCTTCCCCCATCTTCTGGCTTTTCGGACTGCACATCGTTCCACGTCTGCATTTGGAACGCGTCCTCAGGAGGCTCTGATTGTCACAATGGTCACAGCTGCTTTTCCAACCCAGGCTCTGCTTTTCACCTTTGACTCTGCCTCAGACTTACCTGTTCACCTGCGTCTATTGACTCTTTCATTGAATGCATTTCAATTAAAATAGCTGGTTCTCTTTAACTGAATACTTTTCATTTTGAAATGCTGTTTTCTACTTCTCTTCTGTGGATGAGAAAAGCCAAATGCTAAGGTTGGAGTGAGAGGGTGAGGATCTCATGTCTTGGCTCCTATGAGATGCTTCCTGAGGGGTCTACTTAAGAACAAGGTTGTGGCCGGGCGCGGTGGCTCACGCCTGTAATCCCAGCACTTTGGGAGGCTGAGGTGGGTGGATCACGAGGTCGAGAGATCAAGACCATCCTGGTCAACATGGTGAAACCCCGTTTCTACTGAAAATACAAAAAATTAGCTGGGCATGGTGGCGCATGCCTGTAATCCCAGCTACCTGGGAGGCTGAGGCAGGAGAATTGCCTGAACCCAGGAGGCAGAGGTTGCAGTGAGCCGAGATTGCACCATTGCACTCCAGCCTGGGTAACAACAGCGAAACTCTGTCTCAAAAAAAAAAAAAGGAGAAGAAGAAGAACAAGGTGCCTAGAGCTGGTGGGGAGAGGAGGGCAGGAAGATATCTTACGTGCTGGGCCTATTACCAGGAGTTTTGGTTCATCTTCAGTAGCTTCTCTTTTGATGCTCTCGCCCATTGATGAGTAGTTACGTGCTGAGGAAAGAATGATGTCTTAGCCCATGTTCCCTAGGATGCAAAGGCAGCGGCAAAAGCTACAGATGATGATTTAGAAAGAGCGATCCCGGAGAGTGTGAGTGAGGCCAAATGAAGCCACGCAGACGAGGCGGGAGCTTGATCCGACCACCGACCCCGGCGTGATCAGTACCCGACCCCTCCGCCTCGTGTGCACGTCGCCTGAGACTGCGGCGTCCGTGTCTCAGGATGGCTCCAACAGTGGATAGAAGGAAGAGGAATGTGGCCACTGACCCCCATCTCCCGTCTGTCGCAGGATCTTCCAGGAGCTTTCCTGCTCCTGCCTTGCCAGCTTGCACAGAGGTGGGCACACAGCGTGGCCTGTGGCAGCTTATGCTTCAGCATCGACTGGAAAACCCCCAACAGGGGAGATAAAAAGACTAGCGTGGATGCAGGGCAGGGTGCCATTGGGTTGCGTCCACGTAAAGTTGATCACCGCTGAGACAATTGGACCAGAGCGGTGGGGAGGAGAGCTGGAGGCCGAGGGCTGAGAAGATGCACAGTGGCATGGCTGAGTAGGTGGCAAGGTCTGGGCAGTTTTTGAGGGAGACTATAAATCACAGAGAGGAACAGTTTCTTCAAAACCAACACAACTAAAACAGGACTCAGTATACTGGCAACCAAAGATGAGCAGCGCCTCCCTGACAAACAGAGCGGCTGTAAAGGTCATGATCACGTGCCTTACACTGATTCACATCATAGTGCCTGAAAATGGAGCAGAACGTCAGGCTAACAGTGGATGTTCCACCTGATGACCTCATAGGCTGAGGATGATGAGGCAGAACTACAAAACATAAGCCCTTGGAGGGCAGAGACTTCCTGTTCTCTTCTGTGCGTGACAGTATCCTCAGCCTGCTGTACAGGAGGCTCTTAGTACATGTTTTTTCAATGACTAAATAACTAAAATGAACAAATAATGCATATTAATGCATATAATAGAATGCTGGCTCCTTCAGGCATTTCCGTAGAAAGACCTTGGACTGTGCTTGCTGGGTCAGAAGAAATGAAAACTTGCTGATCAGAAAGAAGCTAACAGAGCACCAGGAGACCTGGAAACTGGCACACCCCACCTTAGCTAGTTGGGGAAGCATGATTCCTAAATTCAGGGGTGTAGGAGTAATCTCCTGAGGGGTCTGCGGAGCACTTTTCATTCATGGTTATACAAACATTTTCAACCAAATGGACCCGACTAGTATTTATAGGATGCTCCACACACTGACTGCAGGAAACCAAACCCTGAGAAAGCAGAAGAAAAGACACCACACAAAATACATCTCAGACTGTAAGAGAATCAATCTAGAAGAGATCTGAAAACTTCTCCTCAAATATTTAAATAACACACTTCTGAATAACTCGAAGGTCAAAGAAGTCTGAAGGGAAATGCTAGAAAGAATGAAGTCAAGGGAAATGAAAGACAACACGTCAACACTGAGAGATACCAGAAACGTCGCTTGGGGGAAACGGACCGTGCTGCGTGGCTATAATAGGAAATAACACAGTTCTGAAACTCGTTTTCTAAATATCAATCTTAAAACACTAGAAAGAGAAGAAAGCAAAAGAAAACTCAAAGCAAGCAGAAGGAAGTAAACTATAAACAGGAGAGCAGACGCCAGAGACGGAGAAAACAGAAAATGCAGAAAACTGATGAGACGAAAAGCTGGTTCCTTGAAAAGATTTTTACCTACTGATAAACCTCTAGATAGACAGATAGAGGGGAAAAAAGAAAACACAGATTACCAGTGTCAGGCATGATAAAAAGGGACATCAATGCTGACCCTACAACATTATTAAGAGATCATGAGTAATATTACTAATAACCCTATGTCCATAAATTCAACAAAACAGATAAAATGGACTAATTCCTTAAGAGACAAAAATCTATCAAAATTTAGTAAAAAAGACTATATGAAAAGTGTGCTGTCTCTATTTTCTTAAAATTGAATTTTCAGTTAAAAATGCTTCCTTCCCAAGTTGGGCAGCAAACCACACTGCCATGTGTGAACCTACACAACCATCTTACATGTTCTTCACATGTACCCCAAAACCGAAGATGCATTTAAAAAATGCTTCCTTCCCCTCCATAAAAAAAGAAAAGGAAAACTGCACGTTTAT